AATTTAATAGAGGCAAAAATATGAAATTGTTATAGCTAGGCAGTAATTGACTGATGTGAAGGTTTAGCGCTTATACAACTGCTTCGATGGATTCAGTAATGTCCAAGTTTTGGGTGAAACTCATATCAATATATGCATCTCCATCTGCAAACTGTTACATAAAAATATATGTGAGGTTGTTGATCTAGTTTTGATATGAATTTATATTAATGCCATTAAAATCTATTATTCTGCTCTGAATTGTGACTGGAATTCGAGTTTGTAATGTAGGATGAGTTTTATTTTTGCAATAACACTCGAGTTAGTCATTTATGATCCTATGAACCGATTGAGGATTTAAGAACATAAACTTTGTTTTAAACTATGAAGAAGTCGGGATAGTTAACGACTCAATTATTCAAATAGTTTTCTTGATAAAGATTGTATCAATGCTATAAAAACAATCATACAAATAAAGACGTATGCTTTTTTAATAAATAAAAGGTGGAGAGGTTGAATACGTGTTTATATATGAGAATTATTGACTGAAAATAACATGAAGGATACACTTGAGCGGCTGGTTTGACTTTCATATAGTTGACCCAAGTATTAACATTGGAGCCGCAAATAAAGAAAAAAAATAGAAGTGGATTCTAATTACATTATACTAATAATAAGAACTTTATTATTATAAATCTTGTATTATGTTACTCGGATGCTTTAGCCTTTAGTCTCTAAATTAAAGAGAAGCACAAGTCAAGCTATCTATATGCAACAAATGTTTAGAAATCTTTCACACAAAAATAAATCTTTAGAGATTAGACTAAAAGAAAGGTACTATAGAAGCATTTTTTTGTATACAGAGATTAAGATTTAATTCCAACCAAAAACAAAAATTGCTCAAAACGCATTTTCTTTCAGGGAGATGTTTGTTTTGCCGTACGAAAGCAAAAGATGTTTGACGAAAGCACTTATTAGGCTTAAGAGGAGAAGTGCAAATCTGTCACAAGTTATGGTTTTTCTATTACTAAATTAATTATATTGAATGAACAAAAGGATCAGTGCGTCTAGTCATCTTTATCTTTTAATAGCGAAACACTTTCAAAAATAAAACTGATAGATTAACGCACGTAAACATGATGATGCCATGCATGCGTCATGGTGTCGTAGTCACTTCAGCCAATTTCTACGAAGTTTATTTTAAACAAATGCATGTAATCTTTTTTTTTTTTAAATGCATGTAATCTTATTATCTGGCCAATGAAGCGATTCGAATCTATATGCTCTAACTAACAACTAACAACACAAAAAATAATCTTTGACGGTTTGTAGCACTAATTCTTTTCGCCAAGTAGGTCTATCAATGCTAGGCTCAAATTGCATCATCAATCGGAACATACTGTCTAAAAAATTGTTTACTTCCGTCAAAAATTTAAAAGGTGAGCGATTAACCAAATTTACAGCTTTTCAGTAAGGAAAGTTTTCTACGATAGATAATTTGTAGCAAGTAATGGGGTGGTTCCTTTCAGTGGAAGAATCAACTCTATGTGTCTACGTCAGAAATCGATTTTCCTTGGATTTACCTCCAGATTAACAAAAAAAAAAAAAAAGAGTTTTATCTATTTTACGGTGTATATAATATATTCAGTTAGAAATTCATTTTTGGTGTTATGTTCAGTGAAAACGTCCCATCCTAAAATTCACAGTAGTGGAAAAAAGAAAGAAACTAGCATCAATGGTAAAAGAAAAAAACAATAATACCCTACTGAGAACGTGTCCGTTTATAAAAATTTGAAACTATGTGAGATGCGGAAAAAGATATGTGTTTAATAAATTGCTAGTGTAAACTTATATTAACAACAAAAAATTGAATGAGGTGGTAATATTTATCCTGTATCAGAAAATTCTCTCTTCTTGGGATTAGTTCGTCAAATGAATTATAAAGTGGTTACTTTATTCTTTCAAATGTATCGCTATATTTGTTATAACAAAGTCAAAATAGTTATCAAGCAAATTGATCCAAAAAAAAATGAGAACAGAAGAAGGCAGGTTAACGAGACACGCTAGAGAGAATATATAGAGAGGGTGAAAGACTGAAAGTCACTGAATTACATATCCTTGTGGTTTTGACAAAACAAAAAAAAACATATCCTTGTGGTATATGCCGATCGTTAAGATGGTTCCTACTTAAAAATTGTGCCAATGGTTGGAATTTTCAACCAACGGTCTCTCTCTTTGAATAGGTTTAAGGTGCTGAGAAATTATAACTATTATTTTTTATTTATATTTGATAAGTAGTTGTGATTATCAGGAGTAATTATTAATGATTACTAGAACAGAGTTTATTGTATATTCCTTCTGTTTCAATATGATAGATGTTTTACCCAAAAAAAATTTTCATTATTTTGATAGATGTTTTATACATGTAAAAATTTACTTTTTTTTTAATCTTTGTTGACCAATAGTATTCCCTAGTATTTTTATAGTCTTTGACTATTTTTAAATTAGTTTTTAATTAAACAATAAATGATATTTTCGTATGAAAAAAAAAATTATGTAATTCTTTTAATATGTGTGAACAATCCTTAAGCATCCATCATATTGACACATAAGGAGTATTTGATATCTGATTCGTAATTTCATATGAAGTATCACTATTTTCGAAACAATATATACAGCTAGAATATGAGTAGTGTGAAGATGCAAACAAGGCTGGAACAGCATGTGTTGCAGTCCGACTAGCTCTGGAACTAACACGGGAAGACTTGCGAAGCAATCTACACACATGGAGGTGAGCTGGAAGCTGAGCTGGAGCTGCAGGACGTGCTGGAAACTTTAAGAGACGAGAAACTGACGTGGATAGGAAGCTTGGAGTATCTTGGAGGATATTTGAAGAAAATATCAAGTTTCCTCTATCTTAGGAGAAGATAAGGAAGGTGAAGATTCTAATGGAGATTTGGAGAAATCACAAGGAGAGTCTGACTAGGATTGGCCGCAAGTCTTATCTTGTATAAATAGGCGTGTGAAAACCTTGTAGGGTTTTCAACACAACTGAGAGAATTCTTAGCAAAGGGTGAGCGAAATTCTGTGAGAGTTTTAGTGAGCTAGTGTGCTAAGGGATTTGGGTGAGAGGTTCTTGAATCACGTATCAATTCAAGAACAGGTGAGGCTAGTGTAGCAAATCAAGGTGTGTCTTGAGGTTGCTCTAAATCGGGTTCTGTATACTTGTAAGTTACAAACAGATTTACTAGTGAAATATTTTTGAAGAGAAAATCTCTGTGTTGTGCTCTGTTCTAGTTCCCGTATTACTACTCTTGCATTTTCATTTGGTATCAGAGTGGTCATCTGTATGTATTTCACAAGGTAAGATGATGTCTTTTTTTGTGTGCAACAGATGATGTCTCTAGCTTTCTTTTAACTTTGGATACAGAAATTCTGCTTTCCGAGTTTTCTAAAAAAGTTTAGGTTTCTTGGTTTATGTGATGTATATTGATTCAGAAAGATGTCAATTGTTAAACTATTTTTTTTTTGGTATATTATATATATTTTGAAAACTAGTTTATTGTCCATAAAAAATTTCTGAATAAACACATGTTTTTTTAATTATTATCATTAATCAAGTATAATTTATGATTGAACCCCAAAAATTTCTGTGGTATGTGAAAATCAAATACTATTATCATTTAATCTAGTTCTTCTTCCAAGTGCAGAAGAACCCCACGAGATTACGGTAAATAACAGAATTATGGCTAGAAAAATATATTATCAAGAGGTTTATATTGTTCGTTTTTTATTATTACTAAACTAAGTCTAGATATGCTAAAGTAATCTTCTTATACTTTCAGTTAAAGATATTAAAACTCTCCAACACATAAATAGTTTTGGAAGTTTATATTCTCATCATCTAAATTCTATGTTCGAACATATTATAACTATAAAAAATGACCAATAAGAACAATTCAATGTTATCATCCAAACATATAATATATTTGTTTTTTTGTTTATATACTTACTAGATTTGAGCTATGGTGATATTTCTACTTTTCTTTATGTTTTTGACTTGCATAATTATCCGGAATTGGTTGGTAAAGAGCTTAAATTGGTGTGGAAACTAATAAAATAAGGCTTGAAGACTCATGACAATTACCTTGACTTTACCTACAAACAGGTACATATGTTTAGTTTGGGTTTGTTTTATTGAATCTAACTATTATTCTTATGCATAGTTTATATAAAAAAATTTGGTTTTCAGATTTTCATTAATTGTTGTATGAGGGAAGATATCAATGACGAGAGAAGTTGTAGTGACGCGTGAATCAAAAACCTTAAGAAAAAACACTTTCAAAGTAACTGGTTCTAATAATTTTTGTGATTATCAAATCTTTTTTTTTGTTTTATTTCTAAGAGAATGTAAAAGTCCTAAGATTTCGAAGGTTAGAAGCAAGAAAAAAAAAGTTTGTGCACAATATTTGAATCTGGCTTTTGATCAATCTCCACAATTTGTTAAACCATTCAAATCAATAAATCTATAAAAAAGATGGCTTTCCAAAGTTCATAAACTAAACTAATGATTGCACTTAAGGCCGGCTTTGACTGCATAATGTTCTGATAAAAATTAAAAAGTAATGATGGAGATCCAAAATATACTTTTGAAAAGGAAATTTTTTCTGACTGAAAACAAATCTTGAAAATTAGGGACAATTTCGTAATCCATATCATAAATTATCCATTCTTTTTACCATAAGGATACCTAACAAATACACAACAGTGAGTTCATGATTCAAATTTGTCTCCTTTGCAATCAAGATTGTTAGCATAAGCTAAATTATTCATTCTACATGTTAAGCCTAATACAATAATTTAAAAAGAATAGTAATGTATAAATTGGTAATTATTCATCTAAGAAAATGGAAAACATATTCGAATAGCCATCCATAATCGTTTTAGTGGTTGGTGCTACTGTTAGGGCGACTTCCTTGACAATATCTCCATTCGATTAAATTTTAAAACAGAAATACGCACTTCAACATATTTTATTTATTCGTACAACTTCAATCCAAAAATAAATAAATCAAATAGAAACTGGAAGAGAAAAAAAATCTCATAACAACTAGCAAAAGATTGAATTTCAATGAAACAATGGCAGTGCGTCTCTCTCACAGAGGTAAACGTATCACTCAAGAATAATAATAACAGCAAATTGTGATGGTAGAAAAAAGAATATTATATCCAGAGACTGCTTTAGGTCATTGCTGAAAAAGCCACTTCACGAAGAGGATTCCGTCTTGGTCTTGAACCTGTACAGAACTCTCTTCTTCTTCTTGCTGGAGACATTGTCAACAGTAAGAACAATCTTACCAGACTCACTGTTCTTGAAACTGTTCCTCATCGGTCCTTCATTTGATCCGATTTTCTTCCCCTTTTGGATAATTATGGTGTAAGCTCCTTTTTCTGTTGGCACAAACTCTTCCTTGTAACTCACTTCCCATCCCAAAACAGCAATGTCCCAAACGATTGTACCTTGAGTCTATGTAAAAAAACCCATTATTAGATTGAGATCTCATGGAAAAAGAAAGGGTTTAGTTTTTAAATTTATTTACCTCAAGAGCTTGGATTTCAATGGTTTCAGTTGATCCAGGCTTAACAACAACTTCAGAAACAGCTTCGTTTGAGAAATCAGTATCATCATCTCTTTTGAACCCACCATACTGAACCGGTATCTCCTCTGCTGGAATGTACCTTTGGAGTCACAAACGCACAATGTTAATGATAATGATGACATTTTCTCAAAGCATATTTAGGGGCTTTAAAGTTTCATAGTTTAATGTGTGCTTACTTGAGAAGAGTCTCTGTGACCTTAGCTGGACGAGCCACAACAAACTTGCTCTTGGTTCGTTGTGTTAAGAATGGAGATAGGAGAGCATTGCCGGCGTAGAACCAGAACGGAGCATTTATGAATATCTGCAAAAACAAAAACAACAATTATAGAAGTCAATGAATCTCAAATGTTGGTATCTCAAACAATGAATGATGTTTGATCAACTCACGTTTTTGGATACAAATTCTGGATAATTGTCTTGCAAATTTCCTATTGCGTCCTTGATAGCAACCCAAAGATCTTTTCTTGTAAGTCCAGGAGAGTTTTTGAGTTCATGGATCTGGAGAAGAGAAGTCACACCTCCTGGTTTCAGGTCAAGCTTTTGGATTCCCTTCTCCATCAACTGAAACCTCCATCTCAGTAAATTATCTCTGCTTTTCTCTGACCCAAATGTTGTCTGGTAAAGCTCCTCATTACCAAAAACACTATGGACATTGTAACAAACTGGGCGAGATTCACGATCCACACCGTTCATGTAGGCTGCAGAGGCAAGACCTTCACCAAAATCTTCTCCAAGGATGGAATCAATGTTGTTGTCCTTTCTCCATTGAAGGGTTTTCTTCAGCATCTCAAAGGCTTCATTGACTTTGAAGTCTCTTGCTCTCAAGAACTTCAAGAGGATCACATCAGTTCCTTCAGAACCTTTGCTTGGAAGCAATGGCACTCCCCATAGCTTGATATCCTTATCCACTGTCTCATCTTCTTCCTCCTCGGTAGTCTCAGCTTTTGCTTCTTCAACCTCGGTTTTCTTCTCTTCTTCCACATTCTCAACTTTCACTTCTTCCTTAGTGTCTTCCTCTTTGACAACAACAACCTCACTCTTCACTTCTTCTTTGGGGATTTCCTTTGCCACAACAGCCTCAGCTTTAGCAACTTCAGTCTTGGCTTCTTCTTTGGGGCTTGCCTCAGAAACAACAGCCTCAATAGTCTCGGTTTTTGCTTCTTCAGTCTTCTTCTCGTCTTCAGCTTTTTCCTCTGCTTCCTTCTTCTTATTCTCCACCTTCACAGGGATCTCTTTCTTCTTCTTGAAAAGAGTGCTTTCAACAATGGCTTCCTCAAGCTTTGTTTTCAGATCGCTCAGAGCCTTTTTCTCGGATTCTTTCAAATCAGAGAAGAAATCACTCTCTTCTTTGAAAGAAGAGCTCTTCTCCACACCCTTAGGCTTGCTCTCATCTTCCTCAGCGTCAGTTTCTTTCTCTTCCACAGGTTTTACTTCTTCTTCTTCCACAACATCTTTCACTCTTGTCTCTTCCTCCACTGGAGAAACTGCAGAGGCAATAACAACCTCTGACTCCACTTGTTTCTCCTCAACCTTCACTTCAGCAGTCATATTTGTCTTTTGGCCTGTAATCAGATTTAAACAATTTTTTTTTAAGTCTATCTTACATAACCCATTAACAAAAGCTTAGCCTATTTTATAAAATCAACCATAGTAGTAGTTACTAATTTTGAATCTAAAAATCCCCACAGCAGATTCATTTTCTTGATTCTAAATGAGAACTAGCTATTTCTTCTTCTTGATTCATTGAGATCTCAAGTCAAAAACGTGATTCTTGCTAAGCCCTAATGATTAACAGACTTAAAAAAAAAAAGACTATGACTAAACCTTAATTAGCTCAAACTTTCAGCGTTCTCTGTGTTTCGATATATCAAATGGAGAAAATGTATAAGAGGCGCAAGGAGAATTGAAATTTAAAAAATGAATCGAATATAAGTGGTTCTTACTGTATCTGCCTTCTTGCTCTTCCTCCTGTATATTTTTTTTCTTTTTTTCTTAGGAGTTTTCAAAATGAGCTGTGAATTATAAAAGAGAGGAGGAGGAGGAGGAAACAATGGAGCTCTTTATGCAGAGGAGAAGCCCTAGCTCTGGTCTGGACCCCACCACTCTTAGCAACGGTCACATGATAGTGTCCACCCAAAAGTTTTCAAACCCGACCCGGACACTCCGTGAACCGGTAAATCTGGTCACCCGATCTCTAATCCGGTTCGGGTTTGATGCGAAACAATCACTTTCCAATTATTATGATTCGATATCATTTATTGCAAGTTTTGCATTTATTTATAAATTTTTATATATACATGAAAATTGAATATTCTATTGATCGGTGGTCGATCTGCAGAAGGTTGGTTCATCGTCCGGGTCGGGTTAAATAAACCGGTGGATTGGTTCTTCAAATCTCTATCCAATGATCCAACTTGTCAATATTTTAAAGGGAAACAAAGATATCGGCTATGTCCCATATTTTGCTTCGCATGTTCCAACGGTCGTCTTTGCTGATCTGGTCTGCCAACGAATGAAAGACACGTGTACTATTCGCCAGAGTATGTTCGGCGCAACGGACGGGATATTCAACCAAAGTCACCTTTTCTTTTTCTTTTAAGAAAGTGTGAAATGAATAAATTTATTAGTAAAATATGTTTCTTGTTGTGTATTTGTTTGATTCTAATTTTGCAAACTTGGAGGTACCCCAAGTTCTAAATTTTAAGTTGATTTGAATAAGTACCATGTATTATGGGTATCCAAGAATCTCTCTATATTTTCCACCTCAAACATTTTTAAAAAGATTTGAATCCTTACAATAATGATTCATCATTTAAGTACTAAACTTTAAACTAATCAGACTTGAAAGTTGGAAAATACGTCTCCTCCTATATTGGTAAGTAAATATTCTCTGTTAGCTGTTGACATCCAATATGCCAACAAAGCATATTAAAGACTGTATATATTTTATACTCTTCAAAAGTGTGCATGAAGATAAATCACATTGTGTTTCGAGTTACTAGGTGATCGGAATTGTTACAAGTTTTCCATAAAAAATTATCTAGATGATGTACATTTAATTCTTTGACAGCAAAAAAAAGACCTTTAATAAACAGAAAATAAAATTCTACTTCCTTCGTTTCATAATAAATGTTATTCTGACATATTTTATACAGATTAAAAAATTAATAAAATATACAAATATACTCCTAATTAATATATTTTTATAACATTTAATTACAAAAACTATTATTTTAAAATTAAAGATAAAACAGGAAATAAAAGTAAAAAGTTACATTTTTTAATGCAGAATAACACTTTTTAAAAAAAAAAAATGAAATTTAAAACGAAAAACGGAGGGAGTAGTTATTAATAGACACAGATCAATCATTGAACAATGGTATCAATTAATTTTGGTCGTAGTCATATACTTGACGCGAATAAAATATTTCCACATCTCATCTATATTCCTATATTAATGACCTCGCAATGATTATATGATGACATTTATAATGCACCGCCGCAACGAATTTTATAAATTGCGTGACAACAATACCTAATTTATATACTGAAATTATCATTCAATATATAAACGAATCAAGAGGTTGTTGAAGTCAACAGTTATAGCTAACTCACCCGCCAAATCAGCCGCAACATAAGGAGGAGACAAGAGACAGAGAGAAACAGAACAAACTACAGAAAGAGACAGAGCACAAAACATCACCAAATCGAGCTGTACAAAAATCACTCTAGAGTCACGTTTCCAATCAGACCCCACTAGATTTAAGAGATAAAACAAGAACCATCCACATTACACAGAGACAGTCTGTTAATTCCTTACAAAAGTAAGAATCTCACAAGAATATCTTTTTCCTCAGCAATGCCACCTCAAAAGGGATCTATGTCCAACGTGTTTGACGGTCTTTAGAACTCACCAAACCGATCATGACCGTTTGTATGATCTCCTCTCAGGCTTCTCAGGCGTTACAGAAGAATCTGAGAACAAACCAGTTGCCCTGTAGCAAAAAGATTACTTTACTGAAACAAGATCCTCTGAATTATCAATCTACGACTGAGATTTCGAACAGAGCTTGAAAAAGGGTTGGTGCTATTTCAGGCAAGCTCTCTACGCGTGAATTCAACGGTCAGCTCTTTAATCTAAACTATGAATATTTCAGAACAACTTTAGCTAGCTTTCAATGCCATCAAAAATACCGTCTTAAGTTCTTGTGAATCTTGTTCAGTCCATTAACTTGGATTATTAGCAAAAGAGACAAGTTGAAGAGTTACTGTACCTGTCGTAACTCAAGTACGCATCACCAATTTGTCCTGCAACCTTGTTTCGTACTTTCCTGACACAAATCTTAAAAATACAAAAGTTGGGAACTTTATGACAAGTAGGCACCTTTTAGAAATAAGTCGCAGATTAAGAAGAGCAAGATTGGTACTCACTTGCACTAGATCAAGTGGTCCAGCGTTTTCATCGCGGTTTCTGTGAATAACAATCCCATTGTCACATTTGTTAATGAAATGTGCACTCCCGCTAATATCATAAAGGTTTGGTGGACTTCCGTCCCATTGTTGCAACTGTTTTGGATGTGCAACAAACCAGACATGACAAGAGTGATGTTGGGCAAAGCGTTTTATCTTCGTAAGCATCTGACTAACATACTCTGTCTCCGTCCTATCCAAAAACGAATTAAAAATCTTTCATGTTTCAGAAACGAAAGAGGGCAAAAGTGAAACTGGTTGAAGTGAAAACATTTCTGTCACTTACTGTCGTGAAGTACGTTGATGATCAAGCTCATTGTAAGGATCTATTACAAGTCCTCGAATCCCATATCGAAGAACCGCAGCTTTCGCACGATCCAGAACCCATCCAATACTTGGAAGTGAATCCATCTCACATCTGATTAGTCATGAGAACCCAAAACACCAAAATTTTACCATTACATGTCCAAGTAGCATAACATATCAGCGGAGAGTCAATTTCTCTAAAGGCTGAAGATTTTTACCTTATGAGAGAGAAGGTGTCATTCAACCACTGTTTCCCTTCGTCCAACTCCTCTACGCTCATCCGAGGGACACTTCTCCCATAACTGTTGAAAAAGAAAAGAGAAACATAAGCTTCATCATCACACAGTACTTTCATGAAAGAGCAAAGTTGAATACAGGGTCAGAGATTATAAGAGCCCTAGTTCTTGTGCCGAAGTAAAGAGACTTACTCTGCGTCAAAGAAGGGTTTCTTTACATGTTTTTCCAAAAGTTTCCTGCCATGATCTCGTACCTACAAGCAGCGAGAGCAAGAAACAATCAGTTAAAACTAGTATAAAGCAGTTTCTCCCTCGAGGGGCTAACTCAGAATCACACCTTATTCTCCATGGAGCAGAGGGAAAATTTCCAGCCAACACTGTGGTTGAGATTACATAACAGAGCATCAATCCACTCACTCTTTCCAGAATTAGGAACCCCTGTCACAACCGTCAACTCCCCTGGCACAACCTGATCAGCAGAACATTGAAAATATCACATCCGGTTACGTATCTACAAGTTTTTATAAAAAAAACTTGACTTCAATGCTTACACTATAGAAGTTGTCTAAAGTTTGCCATCCCGTTGAAACACCATACTCATGTCCATGAGTCCGATGATAGTAGGCATCAATTTCATCAAAGAAATCTTTAAAGGGGAACAATCCTTGTATAGGATATGGCTCAGCATTATGAATAGCTTCACTGAGTGAATGAGGTCCCATAGACATAAGCACCTAACAAAATCATCCCAAGTAAGGAATTGTGGTCATTCAAAACCAATGTAACAAAGAAAGCAATTGCATAAAGTTAACATATACTCTGGTCTGACCTCATTTGCATCTTTGCAATGCTCATCATCACTTTTCTTCGGCCATTTGACACGCCAACATCGTTCTTTTCCCAGACGCCGTGCAACTTCTTCAGCCAGAGCTTGGCCAGGTCCATCTCCATCAGTAGCAATAATAATCCGAGATGCCTATGGACAAAAAACCCTATTAGACTCAGATTCTTGGAATCTTGACATTTACACAATTACATATCAAACCAAAATAATAAATCATAACACACCTTCTTTAGGTAGTCGTTGCAATTCCATAGAAACTTATACTTCGTGTCCTAGCTTTACAGAACAGTAAAATGGTTAAGGAATCAAATAAGATAATGGATAAAAAAAATTACAAAACCTAGAAGACAATGCAAACCTTATCTTCAGATGGGGTTTCCTTTGCAGAAACTGAAGCTGGAGCTCCATCAGGAACAGACACACAATTTCGAAAACCAGCCTCTTCCATCGCAAGTTTGTCTATTTCTCCTTCAACCTAGAGATAATTTTCCCCAAAGAATTAAAAAAAGTTCTTCACAGTGTAGCCGTCTATCATTTAAGAGGATGTAAAGACAGACATACTATAATGATTTCAGATGCTCTTTCAATGTCATCAAGCCCATAAAATATCTTCCGTGTATTCTTTTCCTGAAGAAAACACAAAGATAAAACCATGTAAGAAATGGTCATGAAAAGAAAGCTCAAGAGAGGCTGATATAAAAAAGGGAATTTGTATGACATGGACCTGAAAGAACTTCTTAGTTAGAGACCGGTACTTGCAACTCACAAGCTCTCCTCTTTGCCAATACGTAAAAGCGATTATAATCTGACGCATACAATGAAGCAAATAAATCAGTGGTAAGAAATGTAAACAACAACAGAGTCAGACCAACAGGACCAGAAAGCTTAAAAATAACCGATTAAGAAGAATACTCGTAAGTACCTCATCACGTATTCTTTTCTGCATAACCCGATTTCTCTCAAGTGTTTTTGCCGAAATCATTCTTGCTGCGAAATAATCCTTAATCTGAAGCATAACCAAGAACACAATAAGATTTATCAAACTCATACAACTACAAAGAAATGAAGTATCAAATTCACATGGTTCATTCAATCTCTCAAGAAAACAGTAGACACAGAAGAAAGAATAATAAGTCTGTCAAAAGAAAAACATAAAAGAAGAC